TAGGAGGGGGAAAACTGTCTTCAAAATACAACCTATTTCACAACAAAGAATCCCAACTGATTTCTGATACCATGAATAAATATTATCATTTGGGTGCCAACTTAAAACTGTTCCATCCTCCCGAGCATTTGTGGGTTATTGTTCTCTTGTTTTTGTTCTAGCTCTTTTAAATGGATTTTCCCCATTTGATTGTTGTTTGTTAATTTGTTTTTATGGATTGTTAGCTGCCTGGGAGGTTGATGAACAGAATGGCAGGATCTGCATGTTTTCAGTAACCAATAAAAATAAGTATTGGATTGAGAAGCATAGCAATTAGTTTATGGTTCTGCTCCAACATCTCATGAGGGCACTCGCCTACAAAGGTGTATGTTCCTTCAAATGAAAAGAAGTGATTTCAGTTAATTTGAACAATGTAACTGGACTCCAAGAATTATATTTGTGTCAATTCCCATTATCCATTGGCTCTTCCAGATAGGTGTAAAGAAACATGAGTTTTTACAATATAATTACAGGGGTTTTGCTGGTAGTTGTCACCTTCTTGTGCTATTTCACTGACTCACTATAGCATCGTAACTCTTAAAGGAGAAGAGAGTGGTACTTTTTTCTTCCAAAATGCTTTGGAAGTGAAAGAAAGGAAGATGGGAATACAATATGGTAGCCAATGCTGGGACTTGCCAGAAAATAGTCTAGGACAACAACAATATAACGTGGATTTTTTTTAAAGCATTGGGAATTATAGCAACAGATAACAGAATCTCCTAAGACAGTGGTTCTCAACCTGTGGTTCCCCAGATGTTCTGGCCTTCAACTCCCAGAAATCCTAACAGCTGGTAAACTGGCTGGAATTTATGGGAGTTGTCGGCCAAAACACCCTGGGGGTCATGGGTTGAGAACCACTGTCGTAAGACATTTGGAGGAGGCCATTGCAAATGGGCAGAGTAACCCAAAGTTCAAGGCCTAATACATGCATGTTTCCATACAGGTCAGTTAGAGTTTAGGTAGGATATCAAGAGAATAGAAAAGGTTGCATCAAAACACAAACTAGTGCTTGGGAGTCTCCCAAGTCTAGCAAAAGTGAGAAAATGACCCGTGTTGGCATCTGAGCTACCATGTATGTGTGGGGAGTAGGGAAGGCAGCTTCATCCCTAGCCACCGAATTGCATCTGGATTCACTGGGGTTCTTTTAAGTAAAAACTATCTTGATTTCATTACACAGGGGTCTGCTTGCATCTGATTTCTATTCCCCTCTTCTTCAACTACTGAAAAGAAAGAGATCAGATCTCAGTTGTGGTTCTGACAAGTACACATTGGTTGCATATTTGAGGGACAGGGTGGGTATTATCCAGCTTCTCTGGCAACGGCAGCCAGTCAAACATGAAGTTCAGCAAATCAAATCCAACTTTAAATTAGGATGGGCACTCCAAATATGTGTGAATCACCTACAGGTCATTAGCACATTATATGACGGGTCTTCAAAAAAAGTTAAGCCCTTTTATTTTTTTATTTAAAGGCAGGATTAGTAGTAATTGGTCCTGTCTTAGAGTGTCATGTGACTAGTCTGTGAAGATGGCTGTAAAACTTATACATTGCACCAAAGAGGGACAAGCATTCCACCATATATTTTTTGGAGGCAGAATTTGTGCCGGGAGCACAAATCCACCTCTACAGGTGCGCTCAGTATGGGGATAAAGTTTTTTTTCTTTTGGAGTTATCTATGAGTGGATTGAAACGTTAAGAAATGGCCATACTATGAGTGTGATGAATGCAGAGCACTCCAGATGTCCAGCTACAGCCACAGCCATGAGGGATAAAGAAAGAAAGGATCCTGGAACTGATTCACAAAAAATGGAAGAATAACAGTTGAAGAGGCTTCAGGGAAGCTGAATATAAGTCCTGCCTGAATTTGCCAATGGCCTTGATTCATAATAGCCTTAAGCTCAGTAAAGTGTGTGCTAAGTGGGGGTCTAAGCAGCTGACAAAGGAGCTTTCAGGGGAAGAAGATTTTCATGTGATGGCATTAAAAAGTTGTATTACACTGGGAAAAATGTATCAAAAAGGAAGGTGACTATGTAGAAAATTATCTAATTGTTTTTGAAATCCTTAATAAATAGAGTTTTAAAAAGTACTGAAAGCTTTTGAATACCCTTTGTATATTCTTTACATATACGACCATAGCTGTCTCATCACAGTTAGTACTAGAAGTGGGCAAGAGGAAGCCTACTGACTGCTTTTATTTGCATCTTCTACTACCCCACACTGTCAAATTGGGACTGCACTACGGGAGAAAGGTTACAACTGTCTGCATATCTTGTTGAAAGATGAAAAACAGCCCTACTACCATGCTTCAAAAATTTGGTAAGGGTTGGGTTCAGCTGAAATGTACCATAACTAGACATTGCCCACTCTTAGTCTATACCAATGGTGCCAAACCTTCAATTCTCCAGGTGTTTGGGACTCCAGCTCCCATAAGTTTTAGCCAGCTAGTCCAATGGTTAGAAATTCTGGGAGCTGAAGTTCAAAACATTTGGAGGGTCACAGGCTGGATACCACTGGTATATAACAAATGGCAGCTGAGCTTCAGAGAGGTTTATTTCTTCACTCCTTCTTGAATCTGTCAAAGAACAAACCTGTGAACATGCAAAGGCAAAGGCATGTGCTCTAGAACATCATGGTAGCCCTGCCCATCTCCAGAACAAGGGGCTTGCCACTGTTTGTAGAGGTTTCACTGTTCCTGTATTGGGAAATGATATACATTTAACTTTTGATAACTCTTGAGAGCAAACATCTTTCTTTCTATTCTATGATTATTCTGGGCAGAATGTCTTCATGCCTGTCTTTTTTAAAAAAAATCACTGCATGAAATGGAGCTCTCCTGTTCTCATGAAGTGCCATGCGCAGTTAAGGTTTGGCCCTCCCACCTTGCAAGTTCCATGTGACAGCCTTGTCAAATAATGCTCTACAATTTGTTGCAAGGCAGAGGGGCCTAAACAGACACCAGTTTCATCACACCAAGTTTCATTTTCCAAACCACTATGCTTTAGACAGGCAAATTGACATCTCTAAAACTTTTCCTTGTATATGTATGTTCAAAACAGCCGGAAGAGTAAAATGCTTTTTCAGACCCTCAGATGTGAAAAATAGAGGAAAATGAGATACTTGTCCTATGTCAGAACACTAAATGGAATCAAGTGCCTGGAACTCTGACTATCATTAACTTCACATTACAAAACTGTACCAACAAACCAGGAAGTACATATTTCTGAATGTAGCTGCATTTACTTCCGAATTGCATATACCTTAGAGCTAGAATGGTCTAAGCTCTTTTAGTTCAGTAAAAAGTTACATTTTTACATTTATTTTTTATTTTCTCTCCTCTTTTCCTATATTTTATGATAATTTCAGCAAGCAACTTTAAAAAAAAACCCACAAACACATACAACTAGAGTAAAAGTCCACGGCACATATAATTAGGATAAAATATAAGCTCAATTAAAAATATGACAAAGTGAATTTATGATTATAATTTCACATGAAAGAAAGGGGACGTTAACAATTAAATTGTTAGTTATAAACAAATGATATTTGAATAGTTCTGTGAAATGTTATCTGCAATGACTCACAAAGTGATTTGGGGGGGGGGGGAGGGGAGAACAAATGAATGTAAGAGTCCACCCAACTAGACCAAAGCCCTACCTATTTCAACATTCGGTTTTCCATGGTGGCCAAGCACAAGGCATCTGTCAGCTCCTGTTGTTGCTCCTCAGGAGCTGATACTGAAGGGCATCATGTCTTTGCTTTCAGAAACAGCATGAAGCTCATCAGGACCAATAACTCCCGGTAGCCCTATCTACTATCTATAAATCTACATCGAAACTTCAGGCTGTAACCATATGCTGTGGCCAAGAATTCCATATGCTTACTATAATTCTCATCAGGCATTTTCTAACTGTATCTATACTTAGGAGTATAGAAAAAGCACTGCACAATAATTCCTAAGATAACTGCAATGGGACATGTATCTCTCTTCACCCAAACATAGTTCCAAAGCTCCACATGAGAAGAAACTCTGCCTTATTAACAGAGCTTGGAACGTCCTGTTTGAAAATGAATCTGTTAATGTCAGACATTAGAAAAGTGGGATATTTAATTCATTCTAATTAACACTAGTAATTGAAATTGTTTAATTCAATGAGTTGTCATTGAACAGCTGACTTATCACTGAATAATTCAGTGACTTAAACAATAAAACCACCAGTTTTCAGAACAGATGAAATTTACAGAGAACAGTAGAATATAGCATGATGTCAGCATTGACTCCTAGGAGCACATTTTGTTCTTCACTCCTCCAAAACTGATGTTTTTGATATTTTAGAGTTCCCTTCTCCCTGTCTTGGATTTTATTTTTTGTAGCTGGACTATAAGGCCCATAACACAATTGTAGCACAGGGATAGTGGGAGTCTAACAGTTGAATACTATTAGGTTGGGAACAAGTGCCCTAAAGCATTCACCTTACAACACGTTCAGTTAAGTTTCCAAATGGATCCTTTCCCCCATCATCCCCATTCTGCCTTACTCACCCTTCAAATACCTTGTTTGTTAAAGGTTAATAAGGGAAAACGTTAAACATTAGAAAGGGATGATGTGCTGATTTTAGATTGAGGACTGATCCAGTGCAAGTGCAGCAATAATTGACTGGCTAAAAAGATCAGTGAGTGGATCAAAGGTGGAGACTTCTTAATTGAAAATGTTTAGAGTGCCTTAGAGCATATCAGGAACAGTTTTCTGCACAGCCGAATCAATGCCGCTTCTTTCCTTTTCCGCCTCCAAACAAGAAGATTAGTTTGCAAAGAACACTATTAGAGCACACATTTTGCATCTTGAGATTCTAAATTCAATCTGTAGTACCACCCAGATAAAAGATCTGACATCTAACAAGTCCAGTACTGCATAGAAGGAAACATGAGCTCAGGAAGGAAAGACCAGCATTTGCTGCTCCTACCTTAGTCTCAGTCCTCCTTGTGGTCCCATCTTCCGAAGTCACAATAGAAACATGGGACGTAGGGGTGCCTGGATCTTCTTCCACAGTCACAGTTTCTTCAACCATTTCTTGGGGCTCCTGCATCATTGCTATCGACGTCTGGTTGCTGGGGCTCTGCTCCTAAACAAAACACAAATGGGTGGCATGAATACTAAGACAAGAATAAAAACATGGAGCTGGGGGAAAAGCTATTCCAACCACACAACACACTCATGCCACATCTACAAGATAAGAGTTGATACGGCCACAGCCTTGTTGATCCATTTCAAGCCACTCAGAATTACGTGTAGAACCTGATTGACCTGAAACCCGCCACTGGTTTACAGCACTGCTTCCTAAACTGTAGGTCTCAACCTCAGCTGAGGTCCCCTTAGCTCAATATTGGAGTCACAAAACAGTTGACAACAGTAAAAGGTTTTAGGCACTAATACAAATTTGTTAACAATGTGTAGGGTTCACAGTGGTCTCTGTAGAAAAGGGCTTGTACAAATGAGCATACTTCTCAACAGCCCAAGGGGCTAGATTGATTCAAGGGGAACCTGCTCCTACTGGCCTTAATCTTGCAAGAAGTTACCTCTTCCTCCTTCTCCTTTCTTAAAGCCATGAAATGAACATCAAGTCATGAGAAGAAGGAGGACAAGAAAGGTGGTGGTTAATGCCCCTGTCGGCGCTGGGGGGTAGACGATAGATTGCCTGATGTTGGGCCCTTTCTCTCAGGCCCATGAAGCAGGGGCGAGGGAGGCTGAGATGGTTAGAGATATTGGAGATCGTCTCGTACGAGTAGTTTGCCGTCCGCTCTGGTTTTTTTATGGGGCGTGGCAGAGGGCTATCTGCTATCGCTTAACTTTGCGCGTCTTCTCGATGGG